GTAGAAATCCGACTCCCCCCCTGATCTCTCTCTCTCTCTCTCTCTCTCTCTCTCTCTCTCTCTCTCTCTCTCTCTCTTAGTACTCTAGCTAAGTTCGCTAGAGTATCCGGAGGTCCCTGGAGAGATATTCTCTCACAGGCGTACCCCGGTTGTACTAAGTACCTTTGAAGGCGCAGAGCCGAGCAATGAATGTATTTCTATTTCGCTTCCTTCTGATATTTTCATGCTCGGAAAGAACCCCCCTTTTGGTTTTTTGTTTTTCTGAGGTTTAAGTATTCTGGTTTGTCTGTGACCCTACGGAGTGAGATGGAGGACGATCGTTTGAAGTTTTTGTTCTGAAATTTTTGGTTTTCTCGGTCCTTGAAGGTCGCTGGGAGGAGCAGAGACGGGTAACGATTCGGATCAAGAAAGGTATGTAGTGTATATGTCAGGAATTTTTTTTGGTTTTTCCTCATTCCTAGAAATATGCTGGGAGGAGCAGAGACGGGTAACGTATCAATACGCTGGGAGGAGCAGAGACGGGTAACGTATCAATACGCTGGGAGGAGCAGAGACGGGTAACGTATCGAATTAACAAATGTATGTAGCGTATTTTCCTGGTATGATGGATGCCTTCGCAATGAATGAGGACCAATACGATGGTGTGAGACAGAAAACACATGGTTTGCAAAGTATATGGGCCCGCAGTACCACGAAGGTTTGTTAGTAGCAGCAGGTAACAACTTTCAATTTTTACCTGATAACGGCGAACCATCTGGGATGTTGGTCGGATGCAGGAATTTAGGAATTTAGGAAGTAAAAGAATTAGTGTTAAGATTAGGATGGATGAGTGTTAGCGAGAAACTGGATACGAAGCCGGAGAGGTTGGGTAACATAGAGTTTTTTGAAACTTCCTAAGTTTAGAAAAAGGCGGGAATAATTTTTGATGATACGACTAAGAGCAGACGTAGTACAAGTAGCCATGGTACGGACGTTCAACACTTAGGAGATTAAGGGAGTAGCAGACGAGCTAAGAGGATATAGGGTATTTAAGAGAAGGTGAGGCCGACACCAACCACACTTCATGGCGAGGAGATCGGTATGGGATGATGAGGAGGAGCCCCCTGATGAGTTCGCCTTTTGCACGCAGGCGACGAAACGCGTCGGGGCGACGCGTGTGGCATTAGTTCCTTTTGCGCTGAGTTTTATACCTTTCGTATGAAGGGCTGGATAATCGTTTTTTGTCGAATATCATGGTCTATGCTGAGTACGCTTATTCAAAGCCGTTTGATCTCTTACATTCCTTTGGATCTATCTTTAATCTCTTGTAGCGTGGTAACCGGGATATGTAGACATTCGAGACGGTGGCTACGTATGGCGCCTTTGGTAGTGCCATCATCGAGTTTCCAGTCGTCCTCCGGTCTGGGGGTCTAAGCGCAGGAGTTGCAGTCGATCGACTTCGATAAGCCCATTGGCGGGCAAAAGGGTTGAACCCTCGAAGTATGATAGGACGATATACTGGTAGGAGAGCATGATCGTCTCTCCTTGAGTATGAGCGGAAGAAGATCTACGTGGCTGACAAACTTGAAGAAGTTGGGCGTGGTGATAACGACCATGGTATGCGGGTATACGATTTTCCAAGTCATAAAGACACGGGAGGATTGGAGATCTTGGTCCTTTAGAGCTCGTCTGTTTATCTCTCTTTAGAACGTAGTAGGATAAGGGGAATGTCGGGCAGGAATTTCAGAGACGTAGAACTAGAGAGGCAGTGGTTGGAGATTCAAAAAATTATTCAGTACCGATTAACACCCTTAGTGTTTGTAGCAATAGAATTCCAGGACTCAACGACTAGAGAGGAGTTATATTCAGAACTTGAGAACGTTTTAGGAAGGGTATATAGTATCGGGTGTATAGTGAGGGATCGGAGAAGGATAAGGAGGAGAGAGGAGTCGATCGGGACTGATGGCTAACCAGATACCGATGGGGGGAGTGCCTCCACAGGTATACGGTACGGGTATACCAGCAAGCCAGCCTGCGTCTGTTTCGTGTTACTTATGCGGGAAAGCTGGCCATTACGCCCGAAACTGTTGGAGTGCGGGGAACGGAAGAGTGCAGGCGCCAACAGTCCAAGCCCCTACGCAGAACCAGGGCGATGACGATACGAGGGAGATGATGGAATATTTCCGCAAGAAGGTACGCAAGCAGAAACTGGAAGAAGAAAAAAGGGAGAAGGAAATGGAGGAAATGGAGGAAAGGAGGAGAAAGGAAGAAGAGGAGAGGAAGGAGGCATATATCGTTTGAGAGAAGCGGAAGTGAGGGAAGCTCGCCTGGAAGCCAGGCTGGTACGACTGTTATCACAACACACGAAGACGACGAATACGAATTTCACAGCTGTCAAGAAGAATCTCCGCCGACCAAGGCAAGGATGTTGAAGGAAATAACCAGCTACCTGGAGGAATCAGAAGACGAGAGCGAGGAAGTAAAAGAAGAGGCAGAGAGACTGATACAAGCGATCGAGAAGAGGAAAGGAAAGACGCGAAAGGAGGAACACGAGATGAGAGTCTCTAGGGTGCAGAGAAGGGGGACAAGACCTGCTCCAATCATAGTCGATGATCCCGTGGAAGGATTACGGACGCCACCAAGTACGAATTGTGGAACGGGTGAAATGCTCGACTACGCGCTAGAGCTGCATCGGAAGTTTTCCGCCAAGAAGGTCCCAGAACTGAGGGACTTGTGCAGCTCCGAAGGGATAGTGTGGACTAAACATAAAACGGCTATTGGCGATCTCTTGAGGTGTCGGATGAAGTTGGGATTTGAGGGAACTCCATCACATTTGTCGCCACTAGCGGAGAAATAAGGTAAGTAAGTATGAACTATTCACGCGTTCTCAAAGAGATAATGAGACGAAGGGGAGAGAGGTACAATTTGCAGCATCGATCACTGGATATTGGATTAGAGAATGTTATCCTCCGGATATTCTTACTGGCTGTGATTAACGGTTCCTTCCCGTGGGCGAAGAAATGGATCACCATGGTGGAAGCAGATGGGGGGAATCTGTCCCTATATGACCCTGGCGTGTACGTATTGGTGAGTCCGTGGTGTCGTCATACGTACGTGGGATGCACAACGCGGGGGATCAGCTATAGATGGGTAGAGCATGTCAGGAGAGCCACCGAAGGAAAACTAGACCGTGCGCCGAAACTTCATACGTGGCTGAGGGTATTTGGGTGGGAGAAGTATCTAGCTATTCCGGTAGGAGTAAGTGTCGTAGACCCGCTCGGGTTGGAAAGAATTTTAATACGGAAGTACAGTCCGGCGCTGAATACGCAAGGGAGAAGGGAAGCAGGGAAGAGAAGGAAAAGGAAAGGAAGGAGGGAAAGGGGAACGAGGGATAGATATGCACACCGAGGCAAGGTGATCACATTTAACGATAGTATCTTAATTATTGACACCTTGAAAATTCCAGTTCCGGCTCAGACACTCGAATCGAGCGGTGGGACGATATGGGCTGATAAGTGGAGAGTAGTGAAAACGAAGGTGGGAGAAAGCATGATATTGGTGAGAGGGGTAAGAAAGAAGATCAGAGATGCGAAGAAGGAGCTTGAAAAAGGTGGGGTGTTCTGAGTGGATCGCGTGCGGGTGCTTTCTTCTAGTGTCCAACACCGGAAGTACGTGCTACGGGATCTCTTGCGGCTGCCATACACGATCCGAGGGATATACAGGAAGAACTCCGCTGAGCTGTTGGCACTATATAGAACAACAGGCCTGTTGAGACAGGTGAAGACTCGAAATGCTCTGAAGAATATGATAGCAAAGGTTATTAGAGGTCGCTACGGAATTGATGTAAGAAGAAAGCCGTACGTAAAAATACCTTTCGCCGTAAATGTAAGTAGTCGGGAAGTGCAGAATCTGGCATCCTCGATTATACGCAGGGCGATAGGTGACATACACGTAGCGGCTTTTCTTGCACAGAAGATACAAGTAGTGTTTAGGAAAAGGAGATCGGTCGCCTCACTGATGCATAACCAATGGTGATGTGCAGAGGCTAGCTCGTGTTACTGCAGATGCGCATTGTACGATTTACCCAGGACGGGGGGCCACGTCAAAGCGAGACTGGAAGAAATTCCTGGCATTCCGACGTTTATGAAGAACTCGAGGAACGTCACATCTGGATATGAGGTGTCAGTAGAGCACTTGGAACAGTACCTGGGCTGTTCTTTGAAAGCATGGACAGGTACGGCTAATCTGAAGATAAGCAGAGAAGATGGACTGAAGTGTCTGACGAACCGGGGATTCAAGGACAGTCAGGCGATGACCTGCCGAGAAGTTTCCAGGTGGGTTGACACTTTGGAGAAGTTGGTGAGGGTGCCGATAGATCGCAACCCAGGGGCGACACTGGTCATCTGCCCGGTGCTATATTTGCACGCGTGCAAGATGACATTCAACAAGAATCACAGTTTCATACCGGTACCTGAGACGGAGATGCAGATTCTGTCGAAGATGAAGGACGAGTACAGAAGGAGGGAGCTTGGGAGTACTGCGATGTGGGGGGCAGGCGGAAGAATTGGGCAAGCCTATGTCTTGCCTAAAGACAAGGATTTGGACAGATGGAGACCCATATCTCCAGCTGTCCATGACCCGGCAAGGCTAGCCGGAGCAAGGTTGGGACGAGCGATCAGATACATGCTGCTCGACTTCAAAGGGATTTACCATTTCGATCTCAAAGCTACATATTCTTTGCGAAGCAGGTGCGAACAGATACAGGAACAATTCAGGAGGAGTGGGATGGATGCGATCGCTAGGAGCTACGATATAAAACACATATTCGCTAGATTGTCGCATCATGCGGTAATGGAGTCGGTCAGATGGTTGGTCAGATACCACGAAGACAGAGGGCTTGTAGGGGTGCAAGAGCTGGAGGGGGAAGATATGTGCTATGACAAGGGCCAGATGAAAGCAAGATGGATTCGTTTTCATGTCGTTCAGGATGATTGAACGGAGCGTGGAGTATGAGCTAGACAACACATATGTGAGATGTGGGGTGGAGATTCTGAAACAGCAATTCGGTATTCCTATGGGACGAAGCTCGAGACCGGCACATGCGTGCCGGGTGTGTGCTAAGACCAAGAGTGATTTCCTGACGAACCTGGGAGAGACGCGACGTTAGTGAAGGGAAACGGAATGATCGACGACATCGCAGTATTCGTTGCGTGCAACATGCAGCAAGCAAGGTCATACGAGAAGGCAGAACAGATCATGTCAGTCTTCGAAGGGAGTTACGATCGCAATTTGACACTGGTACGAAAAGACGAAGGAAATAATTCCTTCGATTTTCTGGGGACACAGATCATCGTATCCACGGATCTAGTGACAGTACATATCTTTCCAAGATCGAGAAATCAAATGCATCTACTGAGAGAAGGAAAGATTAGGATCCAGTCTATGCAAGACTATGCGTCTTTTTCGAAGAAATCCACCAAGAAGGCGACTCTCTTAGCAAGCTTCCTAAGGATGTCCAGGCTATCGACCTCACATGACACAGCACTGGCAGCGATTACGGCAACAGTGTTTGAGTCTCGCCTCTAGGGCTACCCCCCTGAGGTCTCTCTAAGTACTCTAGCTCAATTCGCTAGAGTATCCGGAGGTCCCTGGAGAGATATTCTCTCACAGGCGTACCTCGGTTGTACTAAGTACCTTTGAAGGCGCAGAGCCGAGCAATGCATGTATTTCTATTTCGCTTCCTTCTTATATTTTCATGCTCGGAAAGAACCCCCCTTTTGGTTTTTTGTTTTTTTGAGGTTTAAGTATTCTGGTTTGTCCGTGACCCTACAGAGTGAGATGGTGGACAATCGTCTGAGTTTTTGTTCTTAAATTTTTGGTTCTCTCGGTCCTTGAAGGTCACTGGGAGGGGCAGAGACGGGTAACGATTCGGATTAACAGAGGTATGTAGTGTATATGTCAAAAAAAAATTTTGGTTTTTCCTCATTCCTAGAAATACGCTGGGAGGAGCAGAGACGGGTAACGTATCGGATTAACAGATGTATCTAGCGTATTTTCCTGGTATGATGGATGCCTTCACAATGAATGAGGACCGATACGATAGTGTGAGACGGAAAACACATGGTTTCCAAAGTATATGGGCCCGCAATACCACGAAGGTTCGTTAGTAGCGGCAGGTACCAACTTTCAATTTTTACCCGATTACAGCAAACCATCCGGGACGTTGGTCGGATGCAGGAATTTACGAGATTAGCAAGTAAAAGAATTAGTGCTAAGATTAGGATAGATGGGTGTCAGCAAGAAACTAGATACCAAGCCGGAGAGGTTGGGTAACACAAAGTTTTTTGAAACTTCCTAAGTTTAGAAAAAGGCGGGAATATTTTTTGATGATACGACTAAGAGTAGAGGTAGTACAAGTAACCATGGTACAGACGTACAACACTTCGGAGATTAACGGAGTAGCAGACGGGCTGAGAGGATACAGGGTATTTAAGAGAAGGTGAGGCCGACACCAACCACACTTCGTGGCGACGGGATCGGTATGGGATGATGAGGAGGAGCCCTCTAATGAGTTCGCCTTTTACACTCAGGCGACGAAACGCATCGGGGCGACGCGTGTGGCATTAGTTCCTTTTACACTGAGTTATATACCTTTCGTATGAAGGGCTGGATAATCGATTTTTGTCGCATATCATGGTCTATGCTGAGTACGTCCGTTCAAAGCTGTTTGATCTCTTACATTCCTTTGGCGCTACCTTTAATCTTTAATCTCTCTCTCTCTCTCTCTCTCTCTTTCTCTCTCTCTCTCTCTCTCTCTCTCTCTCTCTCTCTCTCTCTCTCTCTCTCTTTTGTTTTTTCCTCCTTTTTTGCCTTTGTTGTTTCCCCTTGGTAACATCCGACTCTCCCCTGATTTCTCTCTGTCTCTCTCTTTCTCTCTCTCTCTCTCTCTCTCTCTCTCTCTCTCTCTCTCT